AGTCCCAAAGGCTACTGTTTTTCTATTCCACCCCATATCGAGAAGCCTTCATAAATTTTCTAAGGCATAGGAGGCATTTTCTCTAAAAGACATTGCAGCATTTACATGCAATGTAAACAGCCAGGCCTCCATTTATTTTAATGAAATGTCAAGGCCTGATGCTAATTCAGTCCTCTGCACTAGCCAATCTTTCCATCTAACTGATTTTTCTTCTTGAACACACCGTGACCTATTTGAAATTTAAAGTATCAATTACTGTAGGCAATATATGAATGAAAATTTCTATGGTGCCCAGAATTCTCTCAGAAAAGAGACTGCTATAACTGAACTTGCTCTTAAACAAAAATTTCTATCATGAACGAGAAATCACTTGGTAGCTAATCAGTTTGAATGGGGCTGGGGGGAGGGTGGTGTCTCACTTGTAAGGTAATCAAACTGTTCTCCACATTCCCATTACCACGTGCGAAGTTGCCACGGGCAGGGCAGGCATTTTTACTACCTGGGGTGGGGAGAAAGAAAGATATGGAACCTCACTTAGGAATTACCAGGTTAGGTCTCTGACATCCCAGAATAAAGATACTAAAATGACTCATTTCACATTTCATGTAAAATTCAGAAATATTTAAGCCTTAGCTAGTGCATTTCATTCACAAAAAATACAAACACAAAACCCCCCAAAAAACAAACAAAAAAACCCCAAGGAAAAGTGAAAGTCACTTTACATTGAAATCCCACTTAGAAGATAGGCTAAGAGACAAATAATCAAATGTATCACCATCACCCCCAGGAAGGATCTTTCTCTTTTTCCATTAACTTTAATAATGCTTCTTGTTTATTTTACAAATAGAAATCATCCTAGGTGAGTTGGGCTTGGCCTTTTAATAAGTTCAAGTGCTCTATTTTAGCTAGCAGAGTTGAGAAATCTCCACTCAAATCACACAACGCAAAGAAAAGAGGATTCTAGAGACCAGACTCTGAAAATCTGTTTTGCTTACTTATGCACACCTTGTATTTGGTATAGAGACGAAACTGGATGGATGGTAACATCTCTCTCCAGAATTACTTTGAGGACAAATGGATGATCCATTTTACCACCTGAGCCTTGGCCCACTTTAAACTCAGAGCCATGCTGGGATAGCAATAAAGGTATCTTATGACACAAAAAGAACCAGATTGAGGTTATCCTGCTGGAGACCACTCAAGAATACCTGGCCAGTGATTCTCAACCTTGGCTGCCCACTAGGATCAGCTGGGGAGCTTTTAAAGCCCAAGCTGCACAGCAGACCAATTCAACATGAGGGTCCGGCAGGGGCCCCAGGCAACAGTCATTTTTTACATGTCCCATGTGATTCTAATGCGCAGCCAAGATGGAAAACTACTGGCTTAGGGTCAACTGGCTCTGTAATAAAAAGCATTCAGGCCAGTGTTCACTCAAGCCAGGGGGAAGAAAGGTAAGACTCCATGCTTCCTCTCAGATTCACAGATTTAATATGCACCCCAAAGACATGGCTAGGCATTTCTCACTTTTTTGTTTTGTTTTTAAATAAATCACTTTGGCTGTAACAGGTCACACTGCCAACAGTAAATTTCGGATTTAGGTAAGTCTGCATTTAAATATGTGTTATAGCAAAACACCTGGGGACAGGCCTAGAACAGACTTGGCACAAAAAGATAAGCCAGAGGGAAGAAGTTTCCTAAGCAGGAGTTAATTCCTGAGTCTAGGATATTAGCATGGCTTATAAAATGACAATTATTCTACAGTTAGAATAACAACAGCTGGGCAGCTCTTTCCCCTGTGCTTTAATAAACACACACACACACACACACACACACACAGAAAAGAAAGGAAGAGAACCAACAGTGTGGTGAGTAGACTCACATGATTTCCTGCCTCAGCTCCCTCCAGGACTCACGCTGTACTCAGGCAGAGGTGACTTAGATCAGTGGCCTCCTAGGAGTAATGCCTGTCTCATTAACTGGAATTTCACACCGTATCGTCGCTTGCCCTTCCCAGTTCCCAGGACAGCAAATACTGATCAGCTAGGACCTGAACACAGAGGCCAACCTGTAAACATTGGGGACTAGATCACTCTTTCACTCTCACTCCTAACCCGAGAATCCCCGTTTGGACGTTACCAGCAGCCAGTGCCTTAGAATGAAAAGGTGGAAAGCGCCACAGGAGATCTATGACAGGGCCGAGAGTTCTTCTTAAGCCAGAACACGTGTTCAAAACGTAGGTAACCTGATATGGCTCGGTGTGCAAGCGCCCCAAACAGTAAGTCAGCCGAGCGTCACACCGAATGTAAAGATTAGGTGGTGTGCCTCGTGGGAGTTTATTACTGACACTCAGATTCCTGACACCTGCACATTCAAGTGAGGCCATCCTGACTACAGCAGAGGCATTAAAACAGGAGTGTCTCTTTGGAGTGACTAAAAGCAAAACAAGTCATCTAAAAACCCATGTCACGCATTCCTCTGTGTCAAGATACTGGCAGAAGGCTCACCGTCGGGCAAATACGGTTAGTCATCTGGTTCCCCAGTAATGGACTGCAAATGGCAATGACCAAAAAAACAGCTCAGAACTCAAACAAAATTTTCATATTTCATTAAAAGGAGTTTGTTGCGTTTTTAAAAAAAAACCAGGAAGATTCCACACGCACTGGCTACTCTTGCCAAATAGAAGCCAGCAGATAAAAGCACTAAACCGAAGCATTCTGTCACTGTTGGATTTCGACACCAGAGCTAAGGACCAACATCTGCACGTGACCAGGAGATACCACGACCTCTAGACTGTGCGTCTGGCTTTCCTTCGCTTGCTACAAAAAGCACGCTCTTTCTTCAGCCAAGTGCTCAGAGGTAGAGGAGCTGAAGCGAGTGCAAAAGAGGACGAGGTGGACAGTGGCTGAGGAACGCAGCTTCCTGCCCAAAGGGCTACAGGGCAATCTTGGAATATGCTCAGTCTTTAATGGGAGGTAGACTATTCTACATTGACTTATCTGCCTTCATCAGACACCTTTTTCTCACACACACACATAAAATCACACACACATCACTGGCAACTCGTGATAAAATTGCAACTTGCAGCAACAGCACGCCTACCCCAACAGCTCCTTTCACTCTAAATTTGATATGAAACCCCAGCCCTTCTCAGGTAGATGCAAGCCAAGTTTGTTATTTTGAGGTCCCTCCTTATGCCAGGCTTTTTAAACATATATTTCACTTTAACACCTACTTTTTTTTTTTTGTCTCTAAACAACAGCTACACTAAGTGGGTGTAATGTGTTATAACATCTTTATAAATAGAAAGTGCAAGAAATAATTTTCTTAGCCAAAATACAAAGCAACAAAAAGCTCTCATAGCCTACTATGCCAAGAATTTGATTTTTTAGAATCAATGATACAGCTAACAAATGCTTCTAATGCTACCAAGGTCATAGTGGATGAGTAAATATATTTATAAACATTTATGAAAAAAGATATTACGAAAATAGCCAAACTTCCCACAAAAGCTATTTGCATGAACTATCTTTAGTATACCACTCTGTGTTCAATGCACATGCATATACAATTGAGTTATATTAGTGTTATTTTTATTGGGCCAGTTTTCCAAAAAGAAAACAGGCTAATTTTTTAAAACTTCAAGTTACATGATTTAAAATCATTTTTGTAAAAATATTAGAAATACCATATAAATCCTAAATATCTCTGCTATCTGATAGCGGTTCTAGACATAGAATTCAGCCACACTCTCAGTGACACCCGCTTGAGCATCTCGGCTTCCAGAGGAAACACATTTTAAGCTTTGTTCCCTGTGTTGTAATTCTGTTTTTGCAGTGGTTCTTAAACAACCACTACAGTGAGGGCTCTATTACTTTATAGGAAACTCAGGAGATCATCTTCAAATATGTCACGAACATCTGCTTTAAGACGTAGCTAAGAGCAGAAATCTGAACCCTAAGAATTTCTATTCCCGCAGGGCGCTGTGACCGGCCTGAGATGCTGGAAAGACTCACTATGTTCTCAATCTACAGGTTCCCTTTCTTCTGACTCTGTTCTCTTCTGCAAATCAAGACCACAGTACTTCATTCTCATGCCACCAGCAGAGGATTTCAAACTTAAGCGCCACAGAGAATCTAGAGGAGGGCCCAAAGAGCTATCCCATACAGAACATGAGACTTCTCCATAGATGACCATAAGATTTTTCATTCCCTGGGAATATATTTTCAAAGGCTTCTCTGTCACAAAAAGCAGACTTTGAGGTACATCAGAGTGGAAATGTGGATCAAAAAGAAAATGTTAAGGCTCACTTGTTTTTATTCATTGAAATTTGCCCCAATCCTTACATGATAAAATCTAATCTTGATGCCTAAATGCCTCAAACATTTCATCCCTGGCTATCCAACTACAAATGCCAAAGTCCTTTTCCCTTCCCAGCATTTTGTAGAGCCCTATATTAAGCCTTCAGCACTGAGTACCCTCCCTTTCCTGTGTCTGCAATTCCTGAGGCCTGACCTAAGGAACAGAGACCTCCTCACTCTCTGATACCTAGGGATGACCAGCAAGAAGCCTTCACAGCTAATTCTCCAGGAACCCACTGCCCACGGCATGAATAGATAATCCCAAATCTTTCTTCTCTTACAAAGCATATTGGTCTGGGGGTGATCATTTTTAGAGCAGAATTTATTCTCTGCCCATAATTCTTCTGTCACAGCAATAGTCTAACTAGTATCAGCCACCAGGAGTTTAAATAAAGCACCCTAAATCTGACAAAAATCCTCACAGTTCAGTGATCTGTTACTTTAGATGACAGGTTGACAGCAACAGCTAATTTATTTTTTTAAAAAAGATTTTTATTTATTTGACAGAGAGAGAGACAGCGAGAGAGAGAACACAAACAAGGGGGAGTGGGAGAGGGAGAAGCAGGCTTCCCGCTGAGCAGGGAGCCCAATGAGGGGCTCGATCCCAGGACCTGGGATCATGACCTGAGCCGAAGGCAGATACTTAACGACTGAGCCACCCAGGCGCCCCCTCAACTGCTGATTTTAAAGGATTAACAACATATTAAATTGAGCAATGAATTTTCCCATATGAAAGGTGATAAAAAATGGGATGAACTGTGCCTGAGGTGGTGTGGTGTCAGTTAAGGTGGGACTAGGATATGCAGGCGAAGCTTTCAATTATCTAAAGAATACGATCCATGTAGTCACGCAATAGAAACTCCTGTTGAAAGAGATTTCGTAGCCATATGAATTTTCCATACCACAGGAGTTTTTGCCTATTTGTAAACTTAAATACAGCTGACATCTCTAACAGATAAACTTCTATAACAGCAAGCTTTTTACTCCCTCTGGGGTATTTCTGGCTCAGTATGTACAGTTACTGTAGCTTCACAGAAAAAAACAAAACAAAACCAGCAAATGCTCACCACTTGGAACTTGGAACAAAAGAAAAATGAAATGGAAATTTTGCTATAAGATAAGTGAAACTCAGTGGGTGGGTAGCTAATGAAACCTTTACGGGGTATGTGTCTCATTCTCTTTCTAGCTCCTTGACTGACCCACGGTAGACATCATAAGTGGTTTCTATGGCACAAACAACTAACCCAAATGAATGAACACAGAAAAGCCCAGAGAAATCAATAACCTAATGCTACCTACGACAGATTAAAGTAGTCCCAAATCCTTGACATACATGCCATCAAGTGGTATTTCCTCTCCCCTTGAGTCTGGGCTGACCAGTGACTTCTCTGACCAACAGCGTATGGGGGTGACTCTATGATAGTTCTGAGCCTGGCCTTGGAGGCCTGGCACCATCTGCCCAGCTTCTTAGAGGCCTGAGCTGCCATTTAATAAGTCTGACTGCCCCGACGCAGAGACCACATGGAAAGTCCCTGAGACTCCAGAGGGGGAGAGGAGGCCTGCTGAGCCCCAAGTCTTCTAGCCCTCCCGCAAGGTGTCAGGCATGTGAGTGAGATCAGCACGGACACTCCAGACCAGTCCAACCACCTGCTGAATACGACCAGGTGACCTCAGTCATCACCACAGGGAACAAGAGAATTGCCTAGAGGAGCCTTTATTTCTGATTCACAACATCACAAGATATATAAAATTGTTGTTTTAGGTCACTATAGTTTAGGGCAGTTTGTTACAAAGCTAGATATACAAGAATGCTATCTTTCAATTTTTGCCTTGGTGGTAACCTGAACTGAGTCACAATTAGATCTATCAAATGGGCGACTCCTGAATCAATGGGCAATACCTCCAGAAAATATTCACCATTCAACATCTGCTCAGAGACACTATCTTTTGAAGAAATCTTCCAATCATGCTTTCTTGAGTTAAAAATTCACTGAAAGCAGTACTGTTACTGACTATTCTTTATTCCAAGTCACCCCAACTCTTTATAAGTAAACAGAGTCAATATGATGTAGTGGAGAGAGTCTGGGCTTTGGAATCAGACTGGAAAATATTGGGTCTGCAATTTATTCACTGTGTAACCCTGGGCTCTCTTCATCTATAAAATGTGGTATAATTACACTTCTTAAAGGCAACATAGTCTAGTACAGTGTCAACTCTAGTGTCAGACTGCCTGGGTCAACCTCTCTGTGCCTCAATTTCTATTTCTCCCTCTCTAAAGTGAGGAGAGTAACAGTGTCTACCCACATGGGACTGCTGTAAGGATTAGGTGAGTTAACCAATGTGAAACACATGGATCCGTGCCTGGCACATAGTAAGCATTCAAAAAAACTCTCAACCATTTTTAGTTCTACTGTTATTAACTCACAGGATTATTCTGAGGATTAACTGCAATTATGCCACTAAAGCATTTAGGACAGTTAATTCTGTTCCCTTCTCTTTGATCTCTGTGGTGAAAAGTGCAGGCTTTTAAAAAGCGTACATCCAGACTCCAACCAAGTGGATTCAGGACTCTCAAGTATAGGAAGCCACATCTAAACTATGTCTAAAATCAATTTTGTTGTATAAATTCCAAGCATACGGTCAGGTACCAAAAAGTACTTAATATTTACTTTATGGGACAGATTCTACTGTATGCTACTTATCACTTAAGATAAGTGATTTCACAGAATAGGAAACATTTTCCCACGAGAAACTCTGACTTTTGGCATCATGCATTAATGCAAATTCTAAGATTCACAGTATATTAAATTGTGCTGTTGTCCATATAAGATGCTGCACATATATCTCCCTTAACTGGATGGTGAATTCTAGCCTCCTCAACAGGACTTACTGAGTGGACAAGAAAGAAGCAAGCATTAGAAGAGTTTTATTTGTCATGAACTGCTCTGCCTTTATAACCTAGCTCTGTTGCTTAAAGTTTCCACTATCTGAGTGAGCCAGCCCCTCTTAACTATGTTAAGATGGGAAATCTCTCTCTCTCATTCTCTCTCTCAAATAAATAAATAAAATCTAGAAAAAAAAAAAGATGGGAAGTATTTATTATATAGATAATGGGGAAGATGTGAGAGAAGAAATTTATTCACGTACGTACTCTGTGAAGACACTATACATTTCAAGTAATAACTGCCTTTTAAGTCATTGCTGTTCCTCACAGTTGAGGGAAAAGGTAGTCTGCCTATACGAGAAAACTGGAGAGTCTGTGCTGATATCCTCCGGGTTTTAATACCACTGTTGCTGTCAGTAATTACATCCTTTGGAATGTAACTAAGTCAGGTGTTTGAAGGGACTCATAATATCCAACTTTGGCTTGTCCTGAGCAAGAAACACCTACTTACTGCAAAGTAAAAAGACTGGTCTTGGGAAAAGCCTACCTAAAAATGAGAAGACTGAAAACAGAGAAACAGACTCTAGAAAGCAAAGGCAGCACAACATAAGACTGGTAATTATCAAAGAAATTATAATGCTGGGCAAACAACATTGTTTTCAACGCATTCGCATAGAAATGGCAGACGGTTCATCTGGCTCTCTAAATTCAATCGCTTTCACAAGTTCTATATCTCAGATTAATCAGAATCCCAAATTTTTCAGAAAAGCAACACTCCAAAATCTCAAGAACCCTGTATTACTCTAAGTGTGCTATGACAAGGCAGTTCTAACCTAGGCAAATATTCTGGAACTTTACAGGTAAGGGTCATCTATTACTCATAGGGCATATCATATAAAACTTACTAATATCCAACTTAGAAAAAAGGAACTTTAAGAATAAAATGCCTAGTAGAGAGGTGCGTTACTGGAGGTTAGGTCACTCATCCGAACTTGGTTTGTGTTGGTTGAGCTGACAACAAAGTATGAATCAAATTCATTGCATTGTGTCAGCATGGCCTAGAACATTTTGTCCTGATAAATTTAACTCAGAAGTCTATGCATGGTTTCCAGATGCGGAACAATTATATTCTCCTCTTGCAAGGAATTCTGTTAATAATCATCCTAACATTTTCCATTTTTTGCACATCTGGCATAAATAAGCTATTTGAACAGTAAGAATGAACATTCAGAGAGCAAATAAATAATGGCCCAGTATATATTTAGAAAAATGATAGTAACAGAATTTGTAAGATGGGTCTAAGAGGAATTTGAAGTCCTCAGAGATTTCATTATATTTTAAAACATTCATTGGAAAAAAAAAGATAAAGGAAGGAAAGAAGATTTGGCTTTTCACTACTCCACATGGAACAGAGTGAGTTTGAGGAAATGAAAATGAAGATTTGTAGTACAGGGAAAGGGTAGAGATTTCTAATCTAGAAAGCAGTATTTTGGGTAAGAATCAAACCACTTATTCATAACAGAAGTTAATTTTTATACTAATGGGAAAAAATTCATTCTTGCCATCATTATGCAAATCAGTTCAAGTGTTCTCAGAGGAATGGCAAAACTTACTTACAAAAACATTAATTTTTTACAGTAGTTTATGTAAACATGGTACTCATTTAATCCTACATTATTATCACGGGAATTATTTTTTAAATTATTTTCTTACATCCGTAACTACTATCCTAAACTTTAATCTACCTGCACCTTTAAGGCAAGGACAGATGGTAAGGCTATTCTAAATGCTTTTAAAGCAATGGGAATCATTAAGAAGGAACACAAAGAGGGTTATGAGACAAAGATCTAGAAAAAGATGGCAAGCTCTTTCAAGAAACTGATGCATACATGGCAACATGAATCTAAAACCTCAACCAAACTATTATAAAGACAAAATGGCCGGAGTGACAAATTTGGAGGTCATTCTTTCAAATCTAATTCTGGAGTTAGCAAACTTTTCTGTCAGGTGACAAACAGTACATTTTCAGGCTTTGCTGGCCATATGGTCTGAGTCACAAGCACTCCACCTTGCCATCACAGTAGAAATAACACCTGAAGAACAGGTGTGGCCCCATTCCACCATCACTTTCTTTAGACAAACAGATGGCCTCAGAATTGGGCCCTGGGGGCCGCAGTCTGCTGAACCCTTATCTAATTCATAAATTCTAGGGATACACTTTGCTAAGGGGCATCCTCTCAAACCCAGGAGTTTACCTGACTTAATAGGTTGGCATCCCTTTTCTAAATCTCAGCAACTAAAATACTTCAATATTGTGCACCCTTCCCAATGGCAAAGGTAAAGAGCCCCCGTTTTCAAAGACAAGTTCAATAAAGGCCTCTCTCTTATGCCTTAAACCAGTAAGAGGAGAGCATCTGAGGAAGAGAAAACAAACAAACACCTGTCTGTTGGATCTGAAGAGAGAAAAACTTCCAGGATTCCAACCCCTTCCTGATTAAATGCCTTCCACTAGGATTAAGAAGACTGCAGTCTTTGTTCAGCTGAATTTCCTTTCCATTACCTGTTGTTTTTATTTCTTTAAATTAGATCTTCTAGTCAAACAAAATATAATTTTTACTAGTTAAAAGAAACGAAATTTGTGTCAAGTAACAGCTAAAATTTTTTAAAGTTATTTCTTGACCAGAGACTACTCAGCTAAGGATGAAGTTCACTATTTCAATACTCTTCCTTCAGACCACTTCCAACCAAGGCCAGATTTCAACTATGAAGGTGGGAGGAGAATGGTTTATTTCTATTGTCACAACATCTTTGGAAACTCTGTTTCACTGATATAGAGGGAACTGGAAACATTTAAAAATACCAAAAACAAAATAACAAGAAAACTTTCCTCAACTGCTGCCTCCCTTCTTTTCCAATCCTTATCCTTTAGGAACAAACTTATTTTTACTTATTCAAGATTAGATTTAACTGTCTGGCATAATGATGGCTTGGGGGTAGTTGGCAAATTACATAAAATAAAACTCAACTCGGTTCAGAGGTAAATATGGTTCTGAGTAAAGAGAGAACAAGTCATTAGAAAGAGCCCTTCTGCCTAAGTACAGTGTTCCTATTCATGCCAATGCTATATTTATATACTGGTATTGGAGTTCAGAGAGAATAAAAGGTACCTCTTAGAATGAAAACAGATTAATATACTGCCGTCTCTCTTCTTTTGCTGAGAATATTGGGTAGCTCCTTTGCTATTAAGTGCCACTCAATGAATGAAAACGGTCCCAGTGTTTGCTATTTCATGGCATTAAAGTACTTAATGATGATTTAGCTCTCATTGCTAATGCAGTTCCCTTCACAAGGTGACATGTGCAAGTTAAGATTTGGTAATGAGTTTTCAGCATTAGCTAAAGTCCATTTAGTACATCCTTAAGAGAGGTATCCTCTGTGCATACACCAATACAGCTATTCATTAATGTAGACAGAACACTACGAACTCCTATGACCCTACAGTGATGTTAGCTAAGAACTAGGACAATGTCACAGTGAACCTGGATAAGAATCTTGGATAGTTATTTAGAATAATAAAAGCCTTTGTGGCTAAAATGGAAATTGCTTTCAGAAACTTGAATTTGTTTAAAAGCTAGCCTGGCTTGTATGTTCATGGATTTCATGGCTCTGGGCTAGGCCAATTAAGAGGCGAGAACCAGCAAACGTGCTGCTGTGGTCCCAGGAGACCGGGTAGCACTCTATTCACAGTATCAATACAGCGAAAACCTAGGACAAGTGAATGACAAGGGAGAGGGACCCACCAAACACTCACAGCATTTCCACATCTGCTCAACAGTCCCTACTTGTTTAAGAGGTTTGTTGCTAATCCTGGCCAGAGGACTGACAAATGCTGCAGAGTTTCTCTTGACAAAGATTACTGCACTTCACCTTTACAATTTGGTAATAGTTTAAAAAAGCTCTATTTCCTCACAGAAAATCTAAGAAACTAACAAAGCATAAAGAACTTTCCAGCATACTACTTCTCACAAGTAGGGTGGACTTAACATTTTTTTGGTAGGCTTAAAAGCTCCATCGACAGCAGCATATTCTGTACTTCTCACCTTCCTGCCTATTCAGTAATGAATCTGTCCACAGACAGCCTGGATGACCTGCAAAAAGGTTTCCCTAAAGATTTGAGTCTAATTTCAAATCCACTTCTAGGCCACAGAGCATAGCTGGTCCCTAAGATGGCCCTATCGTGCTGTTGCCCAACTAAAGAGGAGAGTGCCCCAGTCTATGTCTCTGAAAGACAAGACTGCTTTGGCAGATCGTGTAAGGGTAGGCTCTTATCAAATGGTAGCATCATTACATTCCTATTGAAAGACGCATTTCTACATTTTTCCAGAAGAGAAAATAACCACTCTCCAGTGACACGGTGCAGCCTTATGTGTAGGTACAATTTGCAGATTGCTTACGAGTTACTCTTTGCACTCTAACTTCCTATCATCAAAGAAATGCCATTCTTTCCTACCCACTAACATTCTCACAAATGGCTCACCCATGCAGGCACGACCAGCCCCGCCCCCGCCCCACATCTCTTTTACAATCATCTATGCCTCTGCACCAAAATAACTGCTTAAACCACTGCATATTTAAAAACTCTTAAAACATTAATGATCAATTAGGAGAAGCTATGGATTTTTCTCTTTTCTATTTGTACTGTAAGCATCTCCTTGCCCGCACCCCTTACTAATCCTCCTTCATTCTCTGAATTCGAGACAGGGCATCTAAAACTCTACATGTTTGGTAAATTTTTTCTGACTCTCAGTGCTGGATTAAGAATCTCAGAAATTCCCAGAATTACCAAAAAGGTCCCTTGAAGTTTTAAAAATCTTAGGAATGATTAAGTAACCAAACCTGATCAAAACTGATCCCTTGATCAATTTATTGCAACATGATTGTGCATGATGTTTTCTGGTGAATGCCCTGTAGTGTATTATTAAAAAGCAAAGCTTTTGGAGTCACCAGCAATTTGCTGATGGTGGGTTTATGAATTACTAGGTTTGCAGACGCGAGACATGGATTTAGTGAGGTTCTTCTATTGGCTTGAAAATATAAACTATCACATATGTAGAAGGAAATGGAATTGTGGTTGCAATAAGAACCGTAGTGTTGAATTTCTTCAACCACAATATTGCAGAAAAAATGTGTTTAAAACTTCATATAAAAGTTATCAAATATGGAGACCTGTAGATTTAAAAATACAGTCCAGGCTCTTTTCACTGGAAAGTGACATTTTTGATGTATAATATTGCTGTTACGTGAAAGGAGGAGCCAGAGAGACTGGATGAAACTTTGGTACTCAGCCTAACACATTAATTCATCTGGACTAGAGCCATTTCCTAACACCCAAAGATAATTAAGCACTGTGGTGTAAAAACACCAACCAGGAAGTTGCAGTACTCTGCGCCATTTGAAATTTGCACAAAAATCCCACTTCCTTCCCTGCTCCCCTCTTCCTCAATAGGACACTCAAGCCCCCAAATGTAGCAGAACCTACTGCAAACACTCTGCTGCTCATTTCACTTCCAGTTGCCTAAAGTGCTTCAGGTGATGCTGCCCACGAGAACACCGCTCCAAGACAGCGGCTTACATGAAACAATCAGGCAAAGTATCATCAGATGCCTAATCAGAGAAAGATAAGGTCTGACCTTTCAAAACAGTAAGAACCACCAGGATACTTTTTTTTTTCCTCAAATGTGAAACTGCATGTTCTGGCAGGGAAGGAAGAGGAGAAATACCTCCTCCCTGTCACCATCACAACTACTTCCTTCTCTCTGGTGGCTGGCTGGTTCAGATGACCAAGGCTCCTGCTGTTTTTTTAGATCCGGGCAATTACAGCCACCAGGATGATATGGACCAAAGTACAGTGTTCAAACATGACTGGTAGATAAATGACTATTTATCATTGTTTTGTTAAAAAATTTTTTTCTTATAAAGTTAACAAACCAAGGCTGTTGATCCCTGAATTAGAAAGTTGATTTGCTTGATTATTTTCCAAAGTATGAGGTGGGAAGGAGGAGGGGAAGAGCCTCTAGTGCTTCTGTGTATGTTGCTGATCCTCTAGTTTGGCAACATCTTGGGAGCATCTTCCGATCTAGTGATGTGGCATTTTGTAAATCTAAGTACCAGCCCATGGCCCTGATGCTGGCTGCTGACGGCCCAAAGGGGAAGAGGGTCTGCCCCCTCCCCCTCGATGTTTCAATCTGGCCCAGTGGTGGACACAGAGCCCTGGGCAGTTTCCCCAGGAGCAACTGTCTCTTCTTGGGAAGGTGACTCTTCCTCAGCTTGTCCTCGAGATGTGACAGTTGTTTCCGGGGAGATGCTGTGAGGCCCCTCCAGGGGTATGCAGCCAGGGTGATTTTTGCGAAAGTGCTGATTCAAGATGGCCTGGAAGGGGAAACTTTTGCCACAAACATGACAGTGGAAGGGTTTGTTGCCTGTGTGCTTGCGGATGTGATACTCCAGCTGATCTTTCCGGGTGTACTTCTTGCCACACATGCGGCAGACGAACGGCGTGATCCCCATGTGCAGGCGCATGTGGCGGTCCAGGCTCCCCTTCTGGTTGAAAGATTTGGCGCAGTAGATGCAGGTGAGACGGGGGTTGTACCGGAACCACCGCTCAGATACTTCTTGCTCTCGGAGATACTCCACATAGCCACTTACTCCCATCACTGCAGACTCTTCGACCTGTGCCAGGTGAGGAAAGCAGGAAAGAACACCTACGCTTAAGTATACATATTAAAAGAGATCAAATCTCTTTTACCTCTCATACTAGCCATATGCTTATTTTTAGGAAAGATCCGAACAGGAAATTAATTACTACAAAAAAGTAAAGATGTTAACATAGGAATTAAAAGAACAATCTGAGGACACTCTATTCCATTTCTTTAGAAGAGCAAGACAGTAGAGTTACTTGGGCTGACAAACAGCATGCTCATAAAGCCCCCACTGAATGTTCTATTTTACATGATAGGAGAACCTGAGGCCATTCATACCATCCTCTTGAACTCTAAACAATCACGTAGGTACTTAGGCAGTGCTGGGCCAATAGAACCTTCTGTGATGATGGGAATGTTCTGTAACCTGTTTCATCTCATATAGTAGCTCCTACCCATATGTGGCTCTTCAGCATTTGTAATATGGCTAGTGCAACTGAGGAACTGAATTTTTAATTTTAATTGCTTTCAATTAATTAAAATTTAAACTTAAATAGCCACATGTGACATGGCCAACGATAACAATACCTGATGGTATAGAATACATTATGTATGGCAAACACGTCATAAATTCTATTTATGGCATTATCATTAATACCAAAATGTAATCCTGCAGTTACTACCTTTATAATAGATAATACAATTTGTTAGTAACAGTATTCATTTACTCAAAAATATTTTGGTGCCATATCAATATATATGATCTTCATTCTAAAGACTACTCAAATTGTAACTGACCTCAGAGCAAACTGGCAGAAGAGGTGGGAAAGGAAACCAGACTGAGATATGGATTTACTAACTTGGTTATTCCTTCCTGTACCCTTTTCACAAATTGATACTCAATAAATATTTACTGACTATTGTCCACCAAATACAATAACAGATAACCACAGAGAAAGAAGCGTGAGACTTGGTTTCTGATTTTGCCCTCCGAACAAAAGATAAAATTTCTGAACAAAAACCAGACAAAGAGAAACAGGATCAATACACATTCCTAATGATATTGCTCATTCACTTTTCAAACTGCTTATACTAAAGGTTACCCTTGAAATACAGTGCACAGACATATTATCATCTGGCTTTATACACCTATTTGTAGTGGTTTTGAATTGATTTAAACAGATTATTAAAATAGAATAATCTGGGATGCCTGGACGGCTCAGTCGGTTAAGTGTCTGCCTTCGGCTCAGGTCATGGTCCCGGGGTCCTGGGATCGAGCCCCGCATCAGGTTCCCTGCTCGGCGGGAAGCCTGCTTCTCCCTCTCCCACTCCCCCTGCTTGTGTCCCCTCTCTCGCTGTCTCTCTGTCAAATAAATAAATAAAATCTTAAAAAAAAAAAGACAAAGATTATTTTTCTTAATACAATCAAACTACCACTACCACACCTAAAAAACCCAGTAATTCATCAATATCAGTTAAAGACCTTAATTTTGTTTTACCTAATATGAACATTAACAATGTAAATAAAGTTTTTAACATATGAAATAAACAAGGGTTCCTCCTATCTGAAAGCTGGGAGTGGGAACAATATATTTCTTTTAATGAATAATTTAAAAATCCTGAAAAATTTTTTGAAAGTTTATTATTATTTTTAGTAATCTCTACACCCAACATGGGGCTTGAACCCATGACTCCAAGATCAAGAGTAGTAGCATGCTCTTCTAACTGAGCCAGCCAGGTACCCCTAAACATTTTGGATTTATAAATGCTTTTCATTCAAAATTCTTTATTAAAATCTCCCCATTCAGAAATTACTGATATTTTCAGTCTGCGGACTTCTGAAATATAAATAACATACATATAACATAATGTTTCGAATAAAAAGCTTTTTTAAAAAAAGATATTTTATTTATTTATTTGAGAGAGACAGATAGTGAGAGAGAGCACAAGCAGGGAGGAGAGGGAGAAGCAGGCTTCCCAGCTCAGCAGGGAGCCCGATGCAGGACTCGATCCCAGGACCCTGAGATCAGGACCCGAGCTGAAGGCAGACACTTAACGAACTGAGCCACCCAAGCGCCCGAATAAAAAGCTTTTATGTGGGACACCTGGGTGGCTCAGTCTGCTGGCGTCTGCCTTCGGCTCCGGTCATGATCCCAGGGTCCTAGGATCAAGTCCCGCATCAAGCTCCCTGCTCGATGGGTAGCCTGCTTCTCCCTCTGCCTGCCATTCCCCCTGCTTGTGCTCTCTCTCTCTCTGACAGATAAATAGATAAAATATTTGAAAAAATAAAAAAAAAGCTTATATGTGTACAAAGATGTATGAGGCAATTACAGATGTTTGGTAGAGGCTAAAGTACAACTGCAAAAAAGAGAAAATGCAAAAGCTGACTCTGGATTAACTGGAGAAAGACTCATCTAATTTGTAATTAATTTTGTGCCCTCTTCTTGAATTTCTTTTTTTTAAGATTTTATTTATTTATTTGACAGAGAGAGCACATGTAGGCAGAGCAGCAGGCAGAGGGAGAGGGAGAAACAGGCTCTCCGCTGAGCAGGGAACCCAATGCGGGGATCGATCCCAGGACCCTGGGATCATGACCCGAGCCAAAGGCAGCTGCTTAAGAGCGACTGAGCCACCCAGGCTCCCCTCTTCTCTTGAATTTCTAAAAATGAGTTTTGTCTCCTTTCACATGTGTAAACTGACAGTGCTCTCCAGCATTTCCAACAGAACAGAAGCAGTTCTCAGCAGGCTTGGGAAGCAGTATGTGAAGTCAAGCGTTGAATAGTTAAGACTGAGGTTTTAGATGATTTCTGATTTGTTTTATATAACATTTGTTTCTGCTCCATTTCCCTGGATAATCAACACTGAACTCCCATAAAGAACGAGGGATTAGCCCACTAAAAGTTCCTGGACAAAGCACAGAATAACTTCTCTGAGGCTTAGTTTTCTCATCCACAAAATTAAAAGGTTAGTACATGCTCTGCCAGCTCAATGAATTCTCTCAAGAGGATTCTCAGGAGAATCAAACACAATAAAGGTACCTTGAAACATTCCGAATGCACGTTATTACCCTGTATAGCAATTAAGGGTGCTGAAATGTGGGCTCAGATCTGCATCCTACTTAATGTGTGACCATGAGCAAGTTATTTAACTACCCTCTGTGTCAGTTCCTTCCTCTGTAAAATGAATACGATAATAGCATCTACCTGATAGGTTGCAATGAGCACTGAATGAGTTAATATACTAAAGTGCTTAATGTAGCTAAGTAAATGTTAGCTATTATTAAACATTATCAACTCACAATATTATTCATAATCTTGAGGGTACTGATTCTCTTAAAAAAAAAAAACCCCTAACTTTAAGGAAAGTAATGTCATACCAGTATTATCCACAAGCAGAAAGTAAATGCATTTTAGTTATCCATGCTATCTTTTTAAATTTATTTATTTAATTTTTAAGTCTTTTAAGTTATCCTTTTAAGCGAATTATTCCATATAATGAATAAATTTCATATAAATGGTTTCCATATTTTCTACAATACCAGTCTAGATTCTTGACGTGGCCTTCAAATATGTTCACCATTGGGGCGCCTGGCTGGCTCAGTTGGTAGAACACCTGACTCTTGGTCTCGGGGTTGTGGGTTTGAGCCCCATGTTGGATGTAGAGATTACTTAAAAAAATAAAATCTTAAAAAAAACCCAGAAAAAATATGTTCACCATCCTAATCTTCTAATTACTAATCAGACTCAACTGAAGTAACTTTAAAAACTAATCAATTTGTGGGGTGCCTGGGTGGCTCAGTCGGTTAAGCATCTGCCTTTGGCTTGGGTAATGACCCCGGGGTCCTGGGATCGAGTCCCGTGTCCAGCTCCCTGCTCAGTGGGTAGCCTGCTTTTCCCTCTCCCTCTGCCCCTCTCACTGCTTGTTTTCTCTCTGTCAAATAAATAAAAATAAAATTAAAAATAAAAAAAACTCATCAATTTGGCTCATTAATTTTATTTGAAGATCTCTAAAACTGGAAATTCACAGACAACCAAATAATCCCCCATTTGGTAGGTGCCTCTTTACTGAGCACCTACTAAGTAACCTTAGTTACTCAAAATTAGTGGTAAAACAACTTGTATTTATTAGGTACCTGAAAAGGCAGTCAGATATGAAGATTAGAAAATGAGGACTCTGTCCTCAGGGAAATTTCAAAGTAGAGGAGACTTAAAATTCATGTAAATAAAAAAATAATAATTTATATGAGTCACTAGAGTTAGGAAAAATTATATCGTACCATCTGTAAATGCTATGGTGGCTTAAGGAGGGATCAAAGAGGACTGGACTAGTTAGGGCACATGGAATGAGGAGTGGGGTCTTAGGTGAACCCAGACACCTGGGAAGAAGAGGGCATCCCAGACTCAAGGTACAGAGACGGGAATAAGTTTGATGTGGTTCTGATACACAGAGAAAGTCTGTTTGTTTGGGATAATAAATGCTGATGAGTGGTGGGAAAAGCTAGGTTAGAAAGATTATAATTACTTGGAAAATTAGGCCAAGTATTTTCACCTTCATGTGGCAGAAAAAAGAAAAAGCCACAGAATTGTTTTGAATAAAGAAGTGACCTTAGCAGTTTAATCACCCCTATAATCAGGAAGCTCTTCAAGTCTATCAAAATTTGTTCTTACTGTAATGTAAGTTCATGTCTTGTTTTGGTCCTCTGCAGCAGGGAAAAAGGAACTGTGGTGGAGGCGCACCATAATAAGCTTTCACACATACTAAGGTCTGTAATAATTCAGCTCTTAATATCATCTTCAGATAATACTACTTACCTGCTATTGCTTTATAGCCTGTACCTTCTGCTTTGGTCAGGTAAACACCCTTGCAGAATTCCCATTTTTATCCCTATCCTATCTACAGACGTAAGTTACCTCTTTGTAACCACTTCTTGCAAAAATGCGTTTCATCTCTCCTGAAGAACACTTTGCTAGGGGTACAGTGATTCTCAGAACTGCCTGTTAGCTACTCCCACTCCCACAGCACTGCTCCTCAAATTGCTACAGTCTTTCCTATACGTGTTTTATGTATCTGTTAGTCTGTCTTACCCACCCAGGCAGTTGTCAGGTCTGTCCCACTGCAGTATGTATTTGCCTAATGGTCACCTTCACAGGGTCATTGCATCCTATCTGAGAGGCGAAGAGAAAATCTGGGCCCTAATTATATGAGTAAAGTTACTTTTCCTCCAAGCTCCTAACATTTTCTCTAACACCTTATTAAAACCAAAATCTATCTTCTTTTTTTTTTTTAAAGATTTTATTTATTCACTTGAAGAGAGAGACACAGTGAGGGAGGGAACACAAACAGGGGGAGTGGCAGAGGGAGAAGCAGGCTTCCCGCGGAGCAGGGAGCCCGATGCGGGGCTCAATCCTAGGACCCTGGGATCACGACCTGAGCCGAAGGCAGACGCTGAACGACTGAGCCACCCAGGCGCCCCCAAAATCTATCTTCTACTAGTTACCTTCCTTTTCCCGTACCCTGGCCTGATAACATACAAGTAAATACAGTTTCTAACAATGTCTCACCGCTGTTACTATACTATGGACACAATAAACATCCAGTGGTTTACATAAAAACTAAGATACTATCATACAATGCAGAATCTAAAAACATTAGCTATCCAATCTTAATCCACCAGTGTTTCCTTTTAAAGGGCAAAAATATTTACAATTCATTGTGTTCTACTTGGTGAGTGCATAATCTTTTTAAAAATCAATCTTCCATGATACAGACTTATGAGAACAAACAAACAAAACTATCAACTACTTACACTACTTGCTATGGACAGTTGCAAAAAAGATGGAAAACATCATTCCTATCCTTTCTAGAACATTTTGGTCTAACAAAAGATTCCAGAAGAAAAAAAAATGAAAAGGGCACCTGGGTGGCTCAGTTGGTTAAGTGACTGCCTTCGGCTCAGGTCATGATCCTGGAGTCCCAGGATCGAGTCCCACATCGGGCTCCCTGCTCAGCAGGGAATCTGCTTCTCCCTCTGACCTCCCCACTCTCATGTGCTGTCTCTCTCTCATTCTCTCTCTCCCTCAAATAAATAAAATCTTTAAAAAAAAAAAAAAAATGAAGATACCAGCATACAAAAAAAGCAATCACACACACAAAAATGCATATGCAATTTATTTACAAATATATGACACTATATAAATCAGTAATTATGTAGTGTTATACCCACCCAAGTACAAAATCAGACTCTCTCCATCCCAGGTCCTAAATTACCTGCATGTAGTTTTCAGGGGTTATTTATGTTATTCTCAGGAATACAGACTGGTTCCTATAATCAGGGAAGAGTTCCACAATCTCATCTTTTTCTACTTCCCAAACTCTGCTGACAACAAAACTGTATTTCCTGCATGCTCACAAGCCAGAATAAAGAAAAAAAAGTAACCAAATAGAGTACTTATTTAACAGGGCCACTGTTACCTTTCCTACATCTTTTCTTTCTTATTCATTATATTCTGTTCACACACAGCGGCACTTTCTTCAACCACTGCAGCAATCCTAAATCCACTACATACCTGGGAGCTGGGCTGCTTAGGCTCATCCATTCTCCCAGGAGACTCACTTCTGGCTCTGTGTCTCTCCGTCAAGGGAACAACACTGCCGGAGGGGCTAAATCTGTTGGAAGAGGAGCAAAAAGGGGACTGATAGAAAAGTAGCGTCAAGGAACTTAAAAAATAGTGATGTCTACCCTTTTTATCCCATGGCTGAGGAAGGGGGAACAAACGGAAAAACAGATTACTAAGAAATACTTTCATGGAGTCAATATAGGATCTGATCTGAAATAAGAAAGGTCTGCCTTAGTAAATCTAACAAACACAAAATGACATAGCAGACAGACCATATGGCCTGGTGAAACTAAGGCTAAATAGAAGTTTCTACCCTTAAGTTCTGGGAGACCATAGAGGCATAAATTAAAACTGGGTCTATGATTTTGTTTCTTCTATGTAACTGTTAGGTTTGGGGTTGTTCCTCCCTCCAGTCCCCATGGTAACTTGTTACATATTTCAGACTGCTGATACCGATCATGGAGATTACAAATCTTTGCATCCAAAGCCATTACTTCTGATACAGTTCTAACACTGGACAACAGTGCTAACACAGGGGGCAGTAAGTATTGTGCACAAGGAGATTTTAACTGTGAAGGACACAAGAAAAGACCACCTATAGTAAATACAGGATATACTCTCTGTGAAATATATGTCACTTTCAAGACCAGGTGTGAACCAAAGTAATAGCTTCTTTAGTTTTCATTGTTCATGCAGTCAATTTTAATTTATTTTCAAGAGTGGAAATAAACAAATGTTACCAATCTACATTGGTAATATTTCTTTCTTTCACCTGAGACTTTGTTTCAATTTACTTAGATTAGAATTATTGCTACTTCCACCAAAAAAAAAAAAAAGTTCTGCAGTATATCAGAAAAGAAAAGTGAGGGGTAGGACATTAGCAGCACTGGTGGAAAAACGAGACTCTCAGGCTTGTGGTGCCAGCAGTCATCGATGAGAGAAAACAGGGAAGATATTATCAAATGGCAAATGAGTTAAAAAAAAAAAAAAAAAAGGGAAAAACATCCAAAAAGCTTTTCTTTGGAATTACTGTGATTACACTAAAAAGAACAATCCTGCTGGTACCATCCTTCCTCTAATTTGGTAGGTGGGGGCAAGGAAAAGTAAACAGTGCTACAAAGGAAAGTAAAAGTCCCCGAGGCCACCTACCTGTGTGATAACATACCAAGGAAGGGCAAAGATGCCAGGCTCCCAGCTGATGATCAGCTCCCTGCCTGGAAATCCGAGAAGGCCCTGGCAATTACTGATCCTAGTGTGGCTGCAGCCGCTATTCTGATTCATGGAAGTGTCTAACTTTACCATAGTTCTCACAACACTGTGAATACTTCACGACTAGGAGCTTCCTGCTTTAAAAAAATAAGAATGCAAGTCTTTTGGCACACTTCCAGTTTCCCCAACACCAACTTATCTTGGCTAAGAACAGCAAGTAAGGAAGATGCCCTCTGTACCACACAGAGGGCCTGCTTCAGGGATGTCTGCTCAACAGCCATCAGATGACCAAGGAAAACAAACCTTACCTGTCAATTTCACTGCTTGTTGGCCGGGCCACCTTGGTTCCCGAAGATCCTAAAGGGTAATTTTCCTGTCCCACAGAACCATGGCCTGTGGTGTCGATCACCATAGCTGTGACTTCCTCGGCACTACTCCCATCTTCTCCGGAAGGCTGATTCTCAGGCCCGAGCCACTCTTCCAGATTCTCAGTTTTGATGTGCACTGCTCCAAGGACCCTGACTTCGTCATCACTGCGGGCCCCTCGGTCTGCTACTCCCGTCTCCACGTACCACTGTCCTGCTCGGTTGATTCGAAGGATGGGCTCCCGGCTCTCTACATCAGAACTCGGTTCAATTATCTGAGGGCTGGTGGACTCCTCCGGAGGACTGAGCTCCCTGATATCCAACACAGCGCTAACCTGACCTCGCCGGTTTCCCTTTGCGGTATTGGGCCGCGGGCTAAGGGAACGGTTTAGAGTTGGTGTAACCCTGTGAGATTCTGGAGGTCTTTCTGGATGCTTTGTCCTCGTCTGACTTAATTCGGCTTCAACCTCTGCCACATTGATTTTGAAATGAATGCCCTCCAGGATCTGTGTACATTTGTCGATGATATGCTGCATCTGCAGGAAACTGGCGGCCGTCAGGTAGCTGATGATATCTGCCAGCTGCAGGCATATCCGCCCCGTGTAACAGAAGGAGAGGAGCTGTTCAAAAACACTAGGGTTCTTGATGACCGAAATGGAGACAGTACTCATCTCGTTTAAGGACATGTGATCCCGGAAATAGGGTGAGCTGGCAGCCAGTACCACTTTGTGCGCCCGAAAAGCTTGTCCTTGCACATTGACCACAATATCACAGAGACGGCCCTGCATGCGCAGCTGGTTTAGATGGCTCAGGACAGAGTTGCTGAAGTCCGGGATCTCCAGTTGTATGTTCCCACCTTTCTCCATGGTCGTGCCTGAGGCTGTAGGCAGGCATTCAACCCTGTGGAAAGAGGAAACCATGTTCAGCAATAGTTAGAATGTCACTCCTCTCATGCTTTCTGATTCAACTCTGCTGACGAATAGTTTTGGGTAAAATTTCAAAATCTCCAAGTAAAAAGATAACTTTCTTCACATTTAAATATGGAAAAGAAGTACCAACAGGTTTTTCAGTTCACATTTCCCAGAAGATACCCTTAAAACCGAAATGTGATTGCTAGACTTCTGTACACTCGAGCTATGTCCATACGTCCCTTACTAATAAGCTATGCAACATCAAAACAGAAGTTCAACAGAATAGAAGGGGCAAAGCAGTTGTGACAGTTCTTTTTTTTTTTTTGTTCTTTAGTCATAAAGTATTTGCACACTGAATATAAAAATCCTCTGACAACTTTTCTTTGGAGGAGAAAGTAATAAGCTCTTTGAATAAATGTAATTACACACCAACGGGTCGATTAGGCATCCATCCCTCCTGTTAATACTTTACTACATTATGCATGAGTTAGGTTTATTATTTAAAAGATGACTAATAGCCCATATGAATGCAAGCCATTATTTCTAAGCTTAAGAGTCAGAGCTCCTACCAAAAGGCTTTGGGTTTAGGACTCTGAAATAAACTCTAGGTTAGGAAAACGTGCCACAGCTGTGTCAGAACTCAGTGAAGATGCAGAAAACTTGAAATTCACTCTCAGAATTAGGACAGAGTAGGTAAACCTACTTCTATCTAAATTCAAAGTCGGGAATTTCAGGGTGGTGATGATACTGATACTGAAATTTCATTCCCCAAAACTGGTTAAAAAAATAGAGCATTTACCAAGTATGGTCAAAATTTTGACATTAAAAGATTAAAAAAAAAAATAGCTGAAACACTATGCCGGTAATTGCACCCAATAGCCTTCAATGGTTGAGAATAATTTGTATAAATCTCAACAGGAAGACACTGACTTGAGCCCAATGTTTCCATTTATCTGTAACTTTATAAGACATTACATAGTTATCTAAGACCTAAAATTTCAGGAACTTATCCTGACAAACTCACAGTATTGCCCCGCATTTACGACACATTTATCAGTAAATAGGGAAGTGTATACACTGCTTTCAAGAACCAACTTTAGCCAATCTGACCTTTTTCCAAAGCGTTTTGGTCTGTTTTGAAACTTTTAATCCAATAAGAGCCTCTGTCGATGCCATCATGAATTCAGATGTGTTTATTTTGGAGCCTACACCAGCGCCTTTTTTGTTTGCTCTTTCCGGCAATTCCCCAGTGAGGAGGACGCCCCTGGAGTAAGGTCTTTACCGTCGGCACTGGAAAGGTGAGAGCTGTAAGAGGGAGAATCGGGAACGCCATGGGGTTGGCCACCTCGGTATTTGAGGGGCTTTAGTCTGCGTTAGGAAGCGTGGGTAGCGGGGAACTGGCAGAAGGGCGAAATGTCACCGAGGAGCGGGGGAGGAGAGGGGTGCAAGGCGTGAGGCTAGGGAGCTAGCCATCAGGTGAGGGCAGAGACCGGGAAGGGGGCGGCGCCCCGGGACCCTGTCCAGGCGGTAAGCGTAGGCGGGCAGGGAGCTGCCCAGAGGTGGGTGTGTGTATCTGGGTGTGTCCGGGCTGCGGTGGGGGAGGGGGCCGCCCATCCCGGGGTCCTGAGGGAGGGGCCCGGCGAGGGGGCGGGCCCGGCAGCTCAGCCCGGCCCGGGGCCAAGGGGGTGGAAGGTCTCCGGTGCCTTGAGGGTGGGGTGAAGGGGAGTGGCTGAGCGCCCCAGGAGCAGGCTGCGGCGGAGCCCGGACAAGGCGGCCCCGGTGCAGGGCAGCTGGACCGGAGTGCGGGGCCCGAGCCCAGTCAAGGAGCAGCACCTACCTCCGGGGGTGGAAATGGGCCGGAATGGGCCGGAACACCGTCCCGGAAGTGAAACCCCCCACCCCCTCCCCCGGAGCGGGCGACGTGCCGGAAGGAAATCACTCACCCTTACACCGCCCCCCTCCCCCTCCCCCAGCGCTTTCCGTCCCTCGCGCCCCCTCCCCTCTCTTCCTTCTCAGTCGGTCGGAGGGCGGGAGCCCTGAAGTCACGCGGGCGGTCGTGTCTCCGCCCACAACGGCGAGGTGGGGCGGGGCCAAAGGGAAGGAGGTGTGGCTAGGGGAGGAGGAAGAGATGAGGGGAGGAGAGAGGGAGGAGCTGAAGCCTGCGCTGGCGGGGAGGATGCGTCATGACGTCATAAAACCCCCATCCTTATATACTAGCGCTGGCCGCCATCTCGGTCTTTTGAGGCTAGGAGTCGCCGATCTGCATGTAAGTGTTCTTTTTTTTTTTGCTTAGTGGCTTCTTGGCTCGAGGCCGCCAACTCTTGGCAGTTAAAGTCACCTTATACATGTATTTCTAGGCTGGTCGTGAACCTTTGCAGGGTTCACAAGATGAAGATGGTAGATGATTACGCGTAGGGTGCGGGTGCGGCCTAAACTACTTGGGTTGTGGGGGCTGAACTGCGAAAAAGCCCTGGGCTCGCGTTCTCTGCCTGTGATGAAGCTTGCGTTGGTAGGGACATCTGAGACTGTTGATGAATGCCAACGGCTCTGATGGCGGCGCGTGCCGATGACCCGAGTGGGCCTCCTGTGGCCTCTTGCTCAGGGAGGCCGGCGGTTGGGGTGCTTAGTCCACGTGGTTCTCTCAGTGGCTGCATCCAGCAGCGCACCGTTATTTACGTCAGTGGTGCCCAATCTTTGTGCACTGCGCTTTCTCTAACCTGTGAAGTGCACCCTTTATAGTCATGAAGTCACGGGTGGTGTAGACCACCTGGTATAGATGATAGGAAAACGACATGCTTAGACTTATTTAGAGCAAAACGGTATCCTAAAAATCGTCATCTTTTCTCTTAGGAATCATGCTGGGCACGAATGCAGTCTGGCTTTTGATGGCTTCTGATGGACAGGTAAGAAACGGGTAAATGCAGCGGTAGGAGTCAGATCTGCTTGGAGGTGGTCTTTGTGTTAAGCCTGTGATGGTTTAAGAGTAGTGGACAGAAGGGATTTCTGAAAAATCCTACTCTGAGGCTTAAGTAGTTAAGAGTGTTGATAATTTACTTGGCTACTCGGTGTGTTTCACTGGATATTCCTTGTCTGTTTTCTAGTTCTGTGTCAAAGGGGTGGAAGTGGCTGCGGAGGTAAGTTACTGAAATTCTCTCACAAAGGGGAGGTTAGGTTGAAAGTGCTACAATGATGACATTTTATTTGCTACTCTTGACTGTGAGAATGACGAGAATTATTACCACCGTTACACTAACTGAGGCACATAAAATGGTGATGTAAAAAATTGAGATTGCTACCAAGTTTACATGAAGCTGTTTCTTCCTAGGTCCTAAAGTTTCACACCCTCGCCATGGGCAAAGAGGTGAGAAACCTTGTATTATGTAGTCCATATTACTCAGTATTTTTTTTTTTTTTAACACAAATGTGAACTTCTGTACTCTAGTATCTTCTGTTAAATGCTTGGGGAACCTGAAAAACAGATACTGTGATGGTTGCATAGTTCAGCAGATTGGATCATGAAGAGAGACACCCATTTGTCTGATGTATCTGCATTGATAGTAAAACTGGTTTGGTACTAATAGCATAAGGAAAATGTCACTAACTTAATTTCGCTCCTTTTTTGTAGGCACTAAAAGAAGTAGCTGGAAGTTGAAGGGGTGAGTAGTTAATTGAACTAAAACATTGGTAACTGGGCAGACATGACAAAGAATGCCACTAATGGCTTTTCAGAGTTGCCTTATGCACAGAAACCACTCCTCCCATGAAATGCTTGAGTGCATTGCTGAAGGCATTAAATAAATCAACGGCCAGATCCTTGTCCTGTTACCATTAGTTAGGACCCTGTCATTTGTAAAAAACCAGCCTGTATGATGATAAGCAAATACTGACTGAACATGAAGGTCTTAATTAGCTCTACCTGATTTCAGGCATTTTTTAAATTTGTGGGGGAGAAAATTCATCTTTGGTGTCTTGCTAACTATCTTTATTTCTTAGGTGGACTTGAGTCTTAGACATGTCTGGACCGACCATTTTTGGGGTAAGTATTAAACATTTTAGTAGGTCCAAAACTTACTGTGAATGCGTAAGTAGAACGCTTAACTACCAAGTTACTAGTTTTCTATGGCTGGTTAGTGAACGCATGTTGAGCATGCTCTGAACGGGGTTTTTGAAATGATGTTGATCAAATGTCTGACCTGAAATGAGCATGTAGACAAATTTAACACTGAAGAACCCTGTGACAGTGATAATTGTCAATCCAATTAATTCAATGATAATTAACAATTTAATGAAATGTCTTGTTTCTTTTCTAGCTTATAGGCCACTATCATGGAGGCTTGCTTGGGGTAAGACAAAAACAGTTCATTTTCTGAAGTCAAGTCTATGTTTCTGAAATACACTATGTGTTAAGTGCTTTCTGGTATTGCGGGGAGGATTTGGCTGTTGTGAAGTGTGTCTAAAGCGGTATCTTTTTGTTAGGTACTGAGTTTGAAGACGTTTTCATATAAAGGTATGTATTCTATTAATCTTACTTGGTTACTAAGCAAGATGCTGTTAGTGATGATTTTTGAAATTAAAAACAGATGGGAATCTCTCTGAAAAAGAGTGAAGATTTTTTAAAAACTGAAACAGTATCAGGAAAACTTCAGAAACCTACTTGTTATTACTTACTACTAAATTTGACTAAATTTCTGCAGGTGTGAAGAGTTGGGAGCACCTTACAAAGCCTGGAACAAGGAGTTATAAGCTAAGGTACAGAAATCTCAAGTTTGATTTCTATATGAAGTGGTTTAAAGCCGGTACGATGATGAAACCATAGTTCAGCAGACTAGCAGTGATGAGCAAAATTGTCTTTCGCTCCTATCTGATGTATCTGGCTGCAGCAATCCTATCCATAACCATTGAAAAGGAAAATTAGCCATTCTACCACAGAAAATGTTCAGGGTTTGAATACTATAGTGGCTCATACACAAACAGTTCTAAGGACTCATAACTTGAGAAATACAGGCTGATACATTTTTGCCAGGAAATTATGGCATGTAAATCTGAATAGATTATGCCAGAATGAGTTATTTAGTTGTATTTACTTATTAATAAACTCCCATTTCCAGAGCAGTTTCAGTATTCCCAGCAAAATTGAACATAGACTTTGTATATATCCTGTCTTCACACACCTCACCATCCACATTCAACAATGGAGTGAGACTTGCTACAGTCACGAATCTATAATAGACCATTATCACCGAAGTCCAGAGTTGACATTAGGATTCACTCATGGTGTTACATGATGTATGGGCTTGGATAATAGTGTATGACACCTACACAACTGTCATAATGTGTGGAATAGGTTTGCTGCCCTAAACGTTACTTCTCAGAAAGTTAAAAATGGGGAAAATGAAGGACAAATTTTAAGGGCTTTATTTCTCCCATATTCAAACAGGCAGACTTGTCAACCTGAAGATTTAGAGGTAAGTTGGTCTCTGATCTAGATGATAAGTTAGAATGTAACCAGTGATGTAGTGATTCTGCCAAATGAAATAGAATGATATCACTCTTAAAACCGTTCCATTTGATTCTGAGGTTACTTTATCAGCAACCATCATGTAAGGTTTTTTTTTTTTTTACCATGATTAACTTGCAGTTGTTGCTTTTAGGGTGTTTATGAGAGCAGCAATCCAGTTATGAGAGCAGCTTACCAGTTGAAAGGTGAGGCTTAAAGACATCAGTACTGTTGTCTTATTCCAGAATACATGATGATCTCACTCCAACTTGAACTCTCTCACTGATCACTTGATGATCATAAAAGATCTGATATTCTATGTACTCAATACCATTAGAATTGAAACACAGAAATGTGACTAAAAACAGCTTCTTTGTCCTTGCAGGCACCTGAATGGATGCTTATGGGATAGAAGATCAAATTTCCAATTTCAATAAATTTTTATAAACCATCTGATCAAGAGTGCTTCTTTCAATTTAATGAGATGAAGGAAGGGAAGTAGGACATCTTTGTGGTTTGAGACCCTGTGACATTAGTTTCATTAGTTGACCTTTTCATGTGTATTTTATAGGATGTCTTGGGCTTGAAAATAATTTGCAGAGGAATATACTATAGCCCTTTTGTTTAAAATACTGTATTTGTATTGACTTAGATTAGTGACATGATCTGGGATTAGCTGTATATTTTGCAGAAATTTTCTAGGGCTGAATGAAATCCCTGTCAGAAAAATATTTGCTGTTAAGCATGGTCTCTTAGAAGTATTGATAGATGATAAAAGGAAGTGACTCGGTATCTTCCCCCCCCCACCCCAATACAAATTGAAAGCAAGCCTAAAAATCTAATAGGTTTTAAGACTGAAGTCAGTACTGTGGTTATACCAATCCTTTAGAAAATAGGTATATTTAGTAGTAGTGCTAATTTTGTAAGTGACAATTGGGATTTTGGTCAAATCTTAAACTAGTGGGTTGCCAGTCAGTTACTCCCTAAATTCCTAAAGAGACGGCTTTGGCTTCTGGCAACATAAAAGCCTTAGATATTCCAAATCGGCACATTTAGTACTTGAAGTGTGGGGGTGACATGACACATTCGGGTTGCAATTTACCTTCGGACTTAACCTACTTGAGAGTTTTAAGACCAAAGATACTGCAAATCTGGATACAATGTGACTTGAAATAAACACTGGGGTCTGATTGTGAGCTTTTGATGGCTTTCAGAGTATGAGAAAACTTAACCCCAGCTACACTGACAACCACACTTGTACAGGAAAGTAAAGTACAAATTTATTGCAGATGGGATTAGCTCAGTCTCTTGAGAAATTGTGGCTAGGTGCCCAAAGGTCAATAATGAAATTAGGCAGCAATCATGGTGGTCTATGGCTTGGAAGATGGCCATTAAGGTGAGTTCATGGCTGGTTGAAAACTTCATGAAGTGAAGACTAATGGTAATAAATTAGAAGGGACATCTCTAGTATATTAGAAACACCAATCGTGTCTTATTTAAAAAAAACCTGAATGAGGGAAGCAGTTTTTGAATGTCTACTATATGCTAAATGTTTTTAGTTCTTACGACAGCAAGTGAGGAATTTCCTCCATTTTACAGATGCACAACCTCAGGATAAAGTTGCCAGAGGCCACACAGATGGCAGTGTCAGACTGTACTACAGTGTATCATTGTAATGGGCAGAATTAGTACACTGAAGGACCCATCTCTTAGGGGGCTCGAAGGGAGGGCCAAAACCACTAGACGAAACACTACAGGCAGAAATATTAAAGGTCTTGCCATCTGGTCTGAAAAGTCCCAGTGTATACCTAGAATCAGTAAAGTTTGCTTGACATTAGATTGGGGAAGACTTGGGAGGTTTTATGGGACAAAGGGTTATTCAGAAGGGCTGGGCTGATTTTAAAAAATGAAAACCCTAATGTGACTTTAGCCTCTGGCACTGGGTGGGAGCTTGCACTCAAGTTACAAGGTACCCTGCAATCCTTGGAACACGTAATCCTTTTAACTTGTTGCCTACCACTTACAGGGAGGTGAGGGATGGGTGTGTAGGGTACTGTTGAGTCATTGGTAACTCCAGTTTGAATAACATTCCCACATTTATACTTCCAATATTTGATTTGGCCCCCCCTGGAAAATTGATACCCATTACTAAGAGCCCATGTAAATTATTTTCATTGAACAAAATGGAAATAGCCCGTTAGTTGACCCTACCCTACCAGAAGGCCAACAAATGGCTTTGGAGGCCACTGTAAGGACTCCAGCTTTTCTCTGAGATGGGAAACCACTGAAGGGTTTTGAGCACTTGGAAATGTTGATAGATGATAAAAGGAAGTGACTGATACCACTCCAGGAGTGACCTGACCCTTCCTGACAGACTGCTGAGGGGTAAGGATGCAAGCAAGATTGTTAGGAAGCTTTTGCTGTGGAAGATGGTCACCTGAACCAGGGTGGTGGCTGGAGGTAAGAAAAAGTATCAGATGCTAGATATATTCTGAAGGTAGAGCTGACAAGACCTTTGAGACAAGTTTCTCCAGACTCACGTTCTTGTTCTGACCATAAAACTGAGGACTACCATGTGTTTACAAGATGACTCTGGAATGTCTGGGAAAAAGAATGTTACGTAATAATAAAGCTACTTTTATGTGGCACTTAACAATCAGGGACATATGTCAGGAAATCTACGAAGCACTTTTTTTTTTTAAAGGTTTTCTTTGTCAGAGCGCATGCAAGAGCACAAGCAGGGGGAGTGGCAGGCAGAGGGAGAAGCAGACTCCCCACTGAGCAAGGAGCCTGATGTGGAGCTTGATCCCAGGACCCTGGGATCATGACCCAAGCCGAAGGCAGACACTCAACTGACTGAGCCACCCAGGCACCCCTATATATAATGCTCTCAATTCCCCTTCCAAATTTGCCTAGCTATTTTTATCATTTCTTATACCCCGCGCACACATTTAATTCCCTCTTTTATTTCTATAAATATGTTTTGTTAGGTTCCGATAGTTCCAATACATTAAATATTTGCAAATCTGATTCTGTTTGCTGATAATGTCTCATTAGTAGCTTGTTTCCTTGGGTGTTTTGTCATTAAAAAAAAAATCGTGAGATTATGTGCCTTGGAACTTTTATCTTCTGCAATTCTTTGAGAACTGGGTTTGTTTTATTTTGCATTTGCTTTTATCAACCTAGAAACACTATGAATCTCAGCTTGTAAAGTGTTCAAACCTCCGTTAAGTGTCAGCTTGTGGTTGTTAATGCTCAGAGCCGATCCCCAGAGCCAATGCAAACACAGACAAGTTTCTTTATCATCACCCTCTACCAAGGGGGTCTCCTTTCAGGAGCTTGTTTTACATGGGGATCTCTTATCTAACTTCTCCACGTATGCAGGAGGCAGTAGGCTTTGTTTGCCTGTTTCCCCTTATAATCCAGCAAAAACCAAAGTCCTAGGTCACACCAGATCAGCAGTACCCCAGGATATCAACAGCTTAAGCACCTAATTACATCAGTGTCGGGGGCATTTCTGGTCTCTAAGGAGCTCCCTTTCTTACTAGTTCATTTATGCATTTAAAGAGAGTCAATGAGGGACGCCTGGGTGGCTCAGTGGGTTAAGTGTCCAACTCTTGATCTCAGCTCAGGTCATGATCTCGGTCATTAGATCGAGCCCCATGTCGGCTCCGCGCTCAGTGCAGAGTCTGCTTGAGATTCTCTCTCTCCCTCTGCCCCGCCCCCCACTCACACTCTCCCTCTCTCTTTAAATAAAATCTTAAAAAAAAAAATACAAAGATTCAAAGAAATTTTATTTAGGAATTTTAGGTGTTCTGTACAAGAAAGATTTTCTAGGATAGTTACTCTATCATATTGCTAAACTGAAGTCCTAAGCTAACACTGTTTAAATATTCAATGATATTATATGAACAGTAGTTGTGTGTGCCAAAACAGATTCATTTACTTAACTCCCACTGCCCGAAATAGTATTCTAAAAACTGCCTGAAAAAAATCTAGTTTTCTGAATTTTTATATACCTCTTTA